GGCTGAGAGAGGGGCATGGAGCCCCGGGTCACACGCTGCTGAGTGGCATCTGCAGGGCTTGAACCCACCGGCTTCCCACCCCTGCGCTGGGCTCGCTAAAGCTAACTGCTGACCAGCAGGAAGAAATCCAGGCCACAGAGCAGGCACTTACACCGGTCTTGATCCCTTTCCTCTACCCTGGGCCCCACACACCAGCGAGGACAGGCCAGGCAAGGACCTTCAGCTCTGCCGCTCTGGAAACCCTGAGTTAGAAAGCGGAAAAGGGGGGAGATGAACCACAGGATGCCCGGGCTTGAAGGGTGCCTGCCACCTGGTGTCGCCCCTCCCTCAGCGCCCTTTCTATACAAGGCCTGGTGGGCGCCCCACCCACTGGGAGAAGCCTGGATGTTTCTTTCAGGGAGTCTTGGCTCACTCCGTGGACCACATCCGGAGGCTCGTCTCCATCACTCCCGGCCTGCTAGCGGGACTGGACTGGGAGTCGGTGAAACCGGGGGTTCCTACTCCTAAGGGAAAGTCTGGGGGTCCCGGACCCCACTCTTGACCTCCAAGCTTCCTCTGGTGCTCTCAGATCTGGGAAACGTAGTTCAGGTTTCCAAGCGGGAGCAGTGGACTAGGCGGTATCCTGAGACGCTGATTCATCCCTTGGGAGACCCTTTCTTGCTCTCTGGCCGTGGGGTTCCTCCTTTGTAAACCGCGGGTAAGAGCTGACTCCCCCCACGCCCAGGAGGCTGTCCTCCGCCTGCAACCGGATGCCGGTGGCCCGGTCGCCCGTGACCGCAGCGCCCTCTTCTGCCTGGGTGCCTCTCGGCCTCGGGGGCACGTCCCGTGCTCTCTGTCTCCCCCTGCAGATCATTCATGGAAGGGCAACTCGCTTGAAAGCCACTCAGAAGACCAGAATTAGGTTTCTAAAGGGGCACTCCGGGGTTTCCCATCGCGGCTCTACTACCTGCTAATGGAGACTCAATGTGCCACTGAACCCGTCAAAACTTAACCCAATGCTTTGTCATTTATAAAAGGCATATAAACAGGTGAGGAGGACATCTATGTCTCTCTGTGGTAACATGCGCCCAGGAAATTATTTGCTCCAGCCTTGTCCACTCTGCATCCTCAGTGCTGAATGTCCACCACCCATCCCTGCCCCGGCTGGACCCTCAGCGTCTCTCCTGAATCACTGGTCAGGCCTCCCTGTGGCCTCCCAGGCTCCACCTTAATCCACCCTCCCAATGGCAGCCCTGGTTCTCTTTCTAAAAATACAGATCTCACGAGTCACTCTCCTGCTTGCCATAGTCAGTGGCCCTCTGTCAGCCTCAGGATAAAGTCACACCCTTCATGGTATTCAAAACCTCCTCCCTCACACCTGTCAGAATGGCTGTTAACAAAAAGACAAGAGATAACAAGTGCTGGTGAAGGACCGGGAAGCCTGGCGCGCTGCAGTCCATGGGGTCGCAAAGAGTCGGACACTGAGCAACCTAACAACGAGTGCTGGCGAGGGTGTGGAGGAAAGGGAACTCTGGTGCGTAGTGTGGGAATACAACTTGGTCCAGCCACTATGGAGAACAGCATGGAGGTGCCTCAAATATTAGAAATACCATAGGATCCACCAATTCCACTCCTGGGTATGGATCCTATGGAAATTAAACCACTGTCTTAAACAGATATCTGCACGTTCATTGCAGAGTTACTTATAATAGCGATATGCAAACAACCTAAGTGTCCACTGATGGATGAATGGATAGAGATAATGTGGTACATATATGCAATGGAATATTATTCAGTCATATGAAACCCTGTCATTTATTACAATATGGATGGACCTTGAGGACATTATACTAAGCAAAACAAGTCAGACAAAAAAGGGGGAAACGGTATGATCTCACTTTATATGTGCAATCTAAAAAAGCCAAACGATACAGGAAACAGACTGGCGACTGCCAGAGGCCAGGGGGTGGGGGTGGGAAGGCACAAAATGGGGGGAGGGGGTCAAACGCCACAAGGTTCTGGCCGTGAGATAAATAAGTCCTGTGGATATACAGTAACAGCATACAGTTAACAGTAATATACTATTATGTATTTGAAAGTTGCTAAGAGGGGAGATCTTTAAGGTTCTCATCACAACAAAAAAAAACTGCAAGGTAATGAATGTTAACTAAACTTGTGATGTCATTTTACAGTATATACACATATCAAATCATTGTTGCATACCTGAAGCTATACATTTTATGTCAACTGTATCACAAAAAAAAAAAAAAAGCCTTTTAGACCTGGACCTTGTCTTGCCTCTGATCCAGTCATGTACCATTTCTTTTCCCATCCCAGGCTCCTGCTAACCATCCACTGGGACCTTCTGCACCCCCTCACCCTATGGTAATTCCTGCATCTGGGCCTTTGTGTGTATTCTTCTTACTGCTGGAAAACCTTGGCTGTATCTGTTTACTATTTGTCATTCAGGATACAGCTCAATTGTCTCCACCACTGAAAAGTCTTCCTTCCTTCCCACTCACTGCCCTGCCCAGAGAAGAATGGGTTCTTCCTTTCCCTTGTCCTTCAGGTGTCTGCTCAGGGTCCACCTCCTCCAGGAAGCCATCCCTGACCACTCCATACCCGCAAGGTCCAGAGTTGGGATAGCATGCCTTTGGTCTATTTCTTCCTGGGGACTGAGCTCTGTGAGGTCGGAGGCTGTGTCTGAGTTCTGGATAGGTATCTCTGGCACCTAGCCAGGGCCCAGTATGGAGGAAGAAGTCAGCTGGGGTTTGGTAGACAGATGAATGAATACATGAATGAATGAATGAAAGATCTGAACAAGCAACTCAGAGGTGGTGATCACAAGGAAGAGCTCCTGAGTTACTCAGAGGACCCTTTGGCTTCCTGGGAGGTAGCAAAGGCTTTGCTCTGAGAGATCTTGGCTCCTTTGACCCCATCTAGGCTTCAGTGTCTCCACAGGCAAACTTGGGAAAAGTAAATCATTACCCGAGTGGTTATAAGGATTGATTAGGATCACATTGCTATTGATGCTACTAGCCTCAACCACAAGAGTCTGATGTTGAAGTTCATGGCCCTTTAGGTGTTGGCCTCACGACAGTGTTTCTAGGAGGAAGTATCCAGGACACACAGTGCCCAAGGTCTCCAATGCCCCGCCCCCCCACCCCTGGCCCTAACTCTTCTAGCTGAGCCCCAGGAAGGCTTTTCCAGAGGCCGGGCTTTAGCCTCCCTCAGCCTCTTAGACTCTGCAATCCGCCTGCCATCCCTGCTCCCCTGTGACATCCATCAGCGCCTGGCCAGCTGTTGTCCAGAGCGGCCACTTCCTCCACCAACCAGCCCCCATCCATCACCGCAGCCTGGGGGGACTTCAGCCCAGCTGCAGCCATCAGTCCCCGCACCCCTCCAGGGGCTGGGGTTCCTGGCAGCCTCTGCTTAATCCCAGCTCTGGGGATGACAGCAGCTGGGTGGGGGCGGGTCTGGGGGGCAGGTGGGGGGGCGGCCAAGGAGACCCTCCATTCCCGCTGTTGGAAGGCGACCCCTCCCCCACTGACCTGCTGACTGAGCCCTTCAGCAGGCCACCCATTCAAAGGGTATTAGGAGCCCCGTCTTCACAGCAGCTGACCTGTACTGAGCACTTCCTGTGTGCCACTTGGTAAGCTGCCAAGTTGTGCCCAAGTATTTATGACCCCATGGACTGCAGCATGCCAGGCCTCCCTGTCCCTTACCATCTCTCAGAGTTTGCCCTAGTTCATGTCCATTGAATCAGCAATGCCATCCAATCATCTCATCCTCTGTCGCCCTCTTCTCCTGTGTATCAGACCCTCTGCCAAACAGGCATTCTTTGCCTCTGCTAATTTAATCTTCAAAACAAAACAGGAACCACCCATGAGGTTGGCTCTGTTATCATCCCACTTGATGAAGCAGGGAGACGGAGGTTCAGAGCTGTGACTTGCCCACGGTCACATGATGGGCAAGTGCCACACCTGGGACTCAGACTGAACGATTCTGGAGTCCAGGCTCCTTCTGCCCTACATGGGTGTCCGCGTGGAAGCTCGTGGAAGACAGATGGAAGTAGGGACAGGGTGGGGTGCAGGGGAAGGAGAGATTCCGGCTGAGAGGCATTGCTTGGAAGCTTTGAGAGATGAGCAAGATGTGGGTGGGCAGAGGGCTGATGGAGATGTGTGCTGAGCAGGGGGAGCAAAGGCTGGAGGTGGGAGCCTGAATCACTCTCACTGCAAAAGGAGAGCCAGAGAGACACCCAGACACACACAGAGGGAGGCCTGTGTGTGTGATGTGGCTGTGTGTGAATGACTGCCTTTGTTAGTGATTGTGACTCTGTGTGTGTCTGTGTGTGTAAAATTATGCAAGGCTTTGAAATGGGCAAAAAGATGGCGGGGTATCTTGCCTAGTGCACCCTCCTGGGTCATCTTGGCCTTGCACAGTCTTCAAGGTATTTCCTAGGAGGTAGCAAACCGATTGTAATGCAAATGAGTCTCCTCCAAAGAAATGCAAATGACCCGCATCCGGTAGAGACACAATTGACGTCTGCCCTTTGCACACTGACCAGTTTCGCACCTGTTTGCAAATTCATTTCAGCACTAGCATTGCCTGCCTTGTGTCTGGGCTTTTTTAATCCTCCTTTGAATTGGCTGTAACATCTTACTAGCTCCCTCATAAACTTGTGAGTCAAAAATCTTTGACATATGTTCAAAGATTTTATATTTGTAGGAGAGTTCTGAGTTCCCCTGCTTTTTGAACATATAATTTCATTTACTTATTTGGGGCCGTGTTGGGTCTTCGTCGCCGCACTAGGGCTTTCTCTAGTTGCGGTGAGTGGGGAACCACTCCTAGCTGCGGTGCATGGGCTCTCATCGCAGGGACGTCTCTTGTGTAGCATGGGCTTCAGCAGTTGTAGCACCTGGGCTTAGCACTTGGGGCTTCCGGGTGTGGACCGGCCAGTTCCAGAGATTTCTCTCCTGTGACCTTAGTATGGGCTCCACCCCAGGCTCCAGAGCTCAGGCTCAATAGCTGTGACGCGAGCTCCGACGCTCCACCGCGGGTGGGATCAGACAGCAGTGGCCGGCGGACTCTTTGCCACTGAGCCGCCACGGAAGCCCCCTGACTTCCCCTTCTTGAAGAGCATGTACGAGTCTGCCCCCAAAGTACAGATTCATGTACACACAGAGCTTGTTGTTGTTGTTGCTGTTGCAGCGCTGAAAGAGCCAGCAAAGACTGGACACAGTACAGACATCCGCCAAGGGGAAACTGGTTGAATAAACTGGACGTCCACATAGGAGAGCGCTCAACGGTTGCGAAAAGAAATGAAGATGCTCTCCTAATACCGCCCGGGAGTGATCTCCAGGATACAGGTTTACTAGAAAATAGCAAAAACAAAATCTAAGGAGCAGAATTGTGTGTGCACGATATATATTCTAGCTTCTGAATGTGTGAGAGATGTGTATACATTTTCCTTTCTTGATCTTTTTAGCAGTGACCACGTGCCTGCCCGCTCAGGGGCTACAAAGCCTGCACACCCCCTGCCCCCTGCCCTGGTGCCCCTCAGGCTCCGACCTGAGCAGCTGACCACAGACAACAGTCCCCTGTCGTGGTTCTTTGTGACATTTAGTCAGCACTTACTGCATGCCCGGCTGTGGACTGAGCACTTTAAACATTTGAGCTCAATTCCTCTTCCCAACACTGTTGTGAGGTGGGTGGTCTCATCATCCCCATTTGACAGACGGGGAAACTGAGGAACAGAGAGTAGAAAACATGAGCTAGAGAGGAAGTGGCAAGGCCAGGATTTGAACCTCCACTGTCTCTCTCAGCTTCCCTTGTGGCTCAGATGGTAAAGAATGTGCCCGCAGTGTGGGAGACCGGGTTCGATCCCTGGGTTGCGAAGATCCCTTGGAGGAGGAAATGGCAACCCTCTCCAGTATTCCCACCTGGGAAATCCCATAGACGGAGGAGCCTGGCGGGCTACAGTCCATGGGAGGGTCACAAAGAGTGACTTTCACTCACTGTCTGACTCTCACGCCCATGGGTTCCATCACCACCAGTGAGTGGGTTTCTCTACCTGCTCCAGCTCAGAAAAGGCAGGAACCAGTACTCCCAATGGTTGAGCCCCAGCCCCTTCAGAGCACAGCAGGGATGGCTGGTCCTCAGTGGGGAGCACCTACTGTGTGTCAGGCACTTCCCATCCACATGCCCACAGTGTCCTCTCCAGAGTGAGGCAGGTCCCGCCTCATCCCCTTTGGACAGAAGAGTCTAAGGCTCAGAAAGTTGAGCAGCTTGCCCAAGGCCACAGAGCAGAGCTGGGGTTTGAACCCAGGTCAGTCTGTCTCCCAGGTCTGGGCCAGGTTCAGGCTGCCCTCTCCTGGCCTGCGGGGGGAGGGGGTGTCACTTACCCCAGCTGGGGTTCAGAGGAGGCTGCAGTCAGCAGTGGTGTACATCGGTCCCCTCCCCTACCTGCTTCCTGCCTGGGAAATGAGGTCCCTTCAGAAGGAGCTGGGGTTGGGAGAGCCGGGTGAGCCAGACCCACTCTGCTCCCTTCTCCAAGAACTGCCTGCAGCCTCCCAATCAGCTAAAATTGGACTTTGCTGCCTTCTGCACGTTCCTGCATACCTCAGCCTGGGTTCCCACACCCTGACTCCTGCTCCCTCCACCACCAGCTGACTTGTTAACCACAGGCACAGGGTTAGAAAGAGCCCCTCCCTGCTGCCTGCCTCAGCAAGTGGCACCTCCACCCACACATGAGCACAGCTGCTACGCACGCCCATTGCACCATCAACTCCTGGGTAACGCGTATCACAGTTATAAATTCCCACGAGGTCCTCGCAATTTTTCTGTGAACCTAAAACTGCTCTAAAATGTTAAAAATCTTAAGGATTTTTTCTTTAAAAAAAAACCAATCTGGTTAGAGTATGTAAGAGTCTGCCCCCAAAGTACAAATTCATGTACAAAGCTTGTTGTTGTTGTTGTTGTTGCAGCACTAAAAGAACCAGCAAAGACTGGACACAGCACAAACATCCGCCAAGGGGAAACTGGTTGAATAAACTGGACGTCCACATAGAAGAGTGCTCAACGGTTGTGAAAAGAAATGAAGATGCTCTCCTAATACCGCCCGGGAGTGATCTCCAGGATACAGGTTTACGAGAAAAGAGCAAAAACAAAATCTAAGGAGCAGAATTGTGTGTGCACGATATATATTCTAGCTTCTGAATGTGTGGGAGATGTGTATACATCTGCTTATATTTTCAGAAAGAGACAATGGAGGGGACTTCCCTGGTGGTTCAGTGGCTAAGACTTTGCACTCCCCATGCATGGGGCTTGGGTTCGATCCCTGGTCTGGGAACTAGATCCCACATGCCACAACTAAGAGTTCACAAGTCACAACTAAGACCCAGCACAGCCAAATAAATAAATATCAAATATACATACATACATATACAGATGGCCCAGATGGTGAAGAATCTGTCTGCACTGTGGAAAACCCGGGTTCAATCCCTGGGTCAGGAAGATCCCCCGGAGAAGGGAATGGCAACCTGCTCCAGGATTCTTGCCTGGAGAATCCCATGGACAGAGGAGCCTGCTGGGCTACAGTGCATGGGGTCACAAAGAGTCGGAGATGACACAGGGGTTAACACTTCAACTGCTTCATATATTTATATACTACTGCTCCTTTCTGGGGCAGAATTGTTAAATAAAAAAAGAAGAAGAAGGAAGGAAGAGGCAATGGAAAGATAAATCAGAAGCTAACAAAACTGTTACCTAAGGGCAGAGAGGTAATTAGTGAAAGGAACAGATGTGGAAGCTAGATTTCTCTTAGTGTATCTGGTTTCAGTTTTTATTTTGTAAATGCAAAGAGTCTATAAAATTATAAAGCAAGGACGAAAAAAAACACCTTAAAATAAAAATACCCAAAAATAAAATAAAATAAAATAAAAATACCCAGCAGAAATGAATAAACCTGTCAACTTGGCAACCACACTGAGAAGGATCACTGGAAGTGACTTTAAAACAGCAGTTTGATGATACATCCCCAGTGGTCTTTATCTGCAGGACCACAAAGAAACAGAAGCACAACAAAATCATCAACAGCACTCGGTCATCTTATAGGTAGTGATGATACTGGTATTATTAGGTCAGCTTTATAATATAGGATACAGATGATAAGAAATGTGTGCTAATGTTGTTAGGAACCAAGATTTTCTGTGTGAACAAATTTAAAAAGGAGAGATACACAAAGTCAAAGAAGTTAAATGAAAACCTTACCATCTCCAATGTGAATGAGAGGGATCAGCATCTCCAGTTTCGCACCTAGACGTGATGATAGCCCAACGGGAATAAGCGCCTTAACGGATACACTGTGACCCCTTGCTCCCATTCATCACCAAAAGGAGCAGGGCCCCTCTGAGAAATAGCTGTTCCAAGCAGAAAGGGTATAAGATGGATCTGGGACATGTCTTCCAGAAATAAAAAAACTCTCAAAGACTATGGAGAAACAGAAGCACAAACAGAAACAGAAGCGATGATGTAACAAATTCAATAAGCATCGTGAGCTTGAACAGCTCAGTATCTCTCCGAGCCTCAGTTTCCCCATGTGGGCAATGGGGATGCCCATTTCCGCCTGGCTGGGTGTTGTGAGAGATTAAAACACACCAAGAGCTTCCCTGGTGATTCAGTGGGGAATAAGCTGCCTGCAGTGCGGGAGACCTGGGTTCAATCCCTGGGTCAGAAAGATTCCCCTGGAGAAGGAAATGGCAACCCACTCTAGTATTCTTGCCTAGGAAATCCCATGGACAGAGGACCCTGGCGGGCTACAGTCCATGGGATCACAGAGTCGGACACGGCTTAGCAACTAAACAACAAAATGACTTTGAAAAAATGGTCCACGTTAAAAAAATACATATATATATATATATATATATATGTATATATATATATTTTTTTAAAGGAAACAGCCCAAAGCTTGGCAGAACCACAAATGGCACCCCAATCACTTCCCCCTCATTAGTTCTGCTTTGCCTATAACCAGGGTGCTCAGAGGCTGACCCTAGTGGGGCTCAAGGACCAGTTGGGAGGTGTCTGGCCTCAAACCCTCATCAGCTGCAGACCGTGCTCCCAACATGCTTAGCCTCCCACCAATCCGTCCTCACATCCTCCTGTCTCTCCTGGGGCCACCTGGGCTCTCTTCCTCAAGATCACCACTTAAGAGCAGCTCACCGTTAAATTTCTCCAACACCCAGGTAGGAATGGGCATCCCATTGCCCAGATGGGGAAACTGAGGCTCAGAGAGGTATTGAGTTGTCCAAGCTCACGGCAATGGAAGCAGCTGATTCTGGCATCCATGCCCTTGTCCCACCCCTTCTCTTTCCGCTATTGGCTCCTTCTCTTCGGAAGGCTGAGCGTGGGATGCGGGTGGTCCTTCCTGAGGAGTGAGTCACCCTCATTTCGGTGTTTCATCTCCCCAGCTGCAGCTGGGAGCTGGGAGGAGGGGGTCGGTGCACATGAGCCCGAGGCAGGAAGGCTGCTTTCCCCTAGAGAGAAAGGAGTCTGCTGTCCAAAGCACTCCGGGAACTTCCCTGGTGGTCCAGTGGTTAAGACTTTGCCTTCTAATTCACGGGGTGCAGGTTTGATCCCTGGTTGGGGAACTAAAATGCCACATGCCTCAGGGTGAGGCCAAAAAATTTAAAGATAAATAAAGCACCCTGGACACCTCCTGCCCTCCGTGGTCACTGCGCCAGACCAACTCGACCTCCAGAATACTCCTGGAATCTGTCCCCTCTTCACTTAAGCCACAACCCTGGCCCAGGACATCATCAGCTCTTGCCTGGACTGTGGGAGCCTCCCAGCACCCCAGCCCTGCTTCCCCCCTCACCTCCTCCAATCCACGGCAAGAGAGAAAGGGCATGTTCCATATATGCTTTGAAGGTGGGATGGACACCATTTGTGACAAATGAACATATTTAGTTGCTGTCAGGGCTTCCCAGGTGGCACTAGTGGTAAAGAACCCGCTTGCCAATGCAGAAGACATAAGAGATGCAGGTTCAATCTTCTAGGTTGGGATCCCCCGAAGGAGGCAACCCACTCCAGTATTCTTACCTAGAGAATCCCATGGACAGAGGAGCCTGGCGGGCTACAGTCTTTAGGGTCACAAAGAATCAGACATGACTGAAGTGACTTAGCACAGTTGCTGCCAACATCAATGAGCCTCCCTTTTCTACCCAGGCCTGATTTTTATTTCATTTCAGATAACCTGTAAGATGGAAATACAGGCTCTGCACAAGGCCTGGAGGCTGGGCCAAGCCCCCACCATCTCCTGCCCCCTTCACCCCCTACCCCCCAGCCCTCGAATTTCTGCTGGAGGCCATTTAAGAGGCAGCAAATCAATGCTTAAGAGGAAGGATCTCACACTTTCTGCAACAACTAAAAGGCAAGGAAATACAAAAGAGAGAATTGTTATAGCTTACAAGGGATTTAAGAGAAACACCAGCCAAATGCAATGTACAGATTTTGCCTCTTGATTTGAACCAACCAACCCTTAAACACATTTAGGAAACAACAGGGGGCAGCAGGTGGAGATGGGATTTGAGAGGACATCACACAATCGTGAACTTCTTATAGGTGTGAAAGTGGCAATTAAATGAAAATGTGGTTATTTGAGACAGTTCCTATCACAGAGGTACATTCTAAAGAACTTTATGAATGAAATGACAATATGATTCATGATAAAAGAACCCAGCAGGG